CTGGCCAGGCTCTCTTGGGCATCTCCTCCGAGCCCTTAGTCCCCCTCATGTGAACCCCACGGTGAGCCTGGGGCCCATAGGCAGGACTTCTGCCTGCTGCCTGCCACACCCAACAGAACTCAGGGCTGGGCACAGACACACATCCCCACCCACCAGAGGTTAGGGCAAGAGCCCAGCACCAAGGAGGAAGCCTAGTGATGGGCTCGTGGAAACTTCTGCTTCTGGTGGAGGAGCATGAGGAAGGAAGGGCCAGGGAGCAGTTAGAGGCCAATGGAGCCACTGCTCTTCTGGGTACATTGAGTCCTCAAGCTGGAGAGAGGGACTTGCCTCCTCCAACTTTGTGGGATGGTGTCACAGGAGACCAGCTGTGTGCACTGCAGGGCCAGGGCAGGAAACTCCTCTTGCCCCTGTTCTGGCCCCAGCCCGAGGCCACACCATAAGCCCCTGAAGACCACTCCCCAGTCCCAGCTCACCACCTGGAGGGTCTGTAAACCCAAGGTATGTGGTCAGATGGTGCTCAGGCAAGCAGTGCCCCACGTGGGGTGCCTGCTGATTGTGAAAACTGGCTTTGATACAGACCCTGGGGTGGACTGAGCCTGATCCTCCACTGCAGGAAGCTGGAGGTTCTTCTCCCTGTTCCGTGGCTGGGCAACAGGGTAAGGAAGCCACTGCACAGCCACTCTGCCGACAACGTCAGCATGGCAGTGCCACCCATCAGCCTCCAGAGCTTGGGGTCCCTGCTCATCCACGCCGGTGCCTCCCTGAAATCCACGTTTGCAGCATCGGGAGCAAAGCACCTTCACTGGATGGAGGAATGATGGGGCGCCCCCGAGGGGCCAAGGTTCTTCTCGTGAGGCTCCTGTGGTGGGCTGGAGCGAGACGTGGGGACAGAGCTGGAAAAGGAGGACAGAGCCGCCCAGCGTGCTGCCTCTCTCCCGGCTCCAGCGAAGGTTGCTTCCCTCCCGCCCCTGCTGCCGCCCGGTGGAGACGGCTCCGGAGGCTGAAGGCTCGTCCTGGGGTGGAGCTGCTGACTGTGGCAGAAAGGCCAGGTGCAGGGTGCTCCTGATGCAGGACTTTTCTTTGAGAGTCTGAGGCCAAGTCTAAGCAAAGGATCGCTCGAGGTAGTTCCCGCCTGATCAATTCTGAAACGAATTAATGGGATCAAGTAAAGCTGGGCTGTTCTCAGTCTGAGCCCTGGGAGGCACAGCCTGGTTCTGCCCGGATCCAAACTCCAGTTCCTGGAGGAGGGTGTCTCCAGTGCGCCATGCACTCGTGTCCTGTGGGCACCTGCACGGATCCATCAGTGTGTGCATTTGCCCCAGATGGCGGGAGACCGCGCTGGGGGAGGCGGTGGTGTGCCCCTTGTCTTTGGGAGCACTGGAGTGCAAGGATCTATGCGCTTTGCCTCTGCCAGAGATGCACAAGGGTGCACAGGTCCTTCCAGGGTTGTGAGTGGAGTTCTGAGTGAATTATGAGCAGCGGTAGCATGGTCGCAGTGCTATAGATGTGCCTTTACAATGGACAGACGATGAGAAGTGGGGTCCTGCCAAAAGAGGGTGAGGGTGCCTGTGGTGACAGCTCCCCGCGGGGAGCCACATGCACTCCCGGGAGGAGCCAGGAAGGCAGCCGGCTAGACAATACTCTCCAGGGGCCACCTCCAGCACACTGGGGAGAAAACCTCCAAAACAGGACTTGCTTCAGGCAAAACTCCAAAGATGCTGGGTGGGGAGGGGGGTGGTAGCTGAGCATCCTAGGGTAGTGCTGGGGGGCACAGCCAAGCACCCATGTGGGACCCCATGTCTGGCCCAGGGGGAAGCAAAGTCTACAGCTGTGCTGGTGCGGAGGGGTGCCTCGGTCTTGCCCTCCTCCAGCCCATCCAACATCCTGCCCTCCGCGGGACTTCAGGTGTCCACCCCATACCCAACTGCAGCCTGTCAACACCCAGCCTCGGCTATAGGGCCTGTCAGATGGTCTCATAGTCACCCTGACTTCGCAGCCAGCCACAAAATGCAGCCCTTGTCTTCTCTGTGTCCCAGGCAGAGGGGGCAGCCTGAGGCCTGAGAAGGCGGACCCGGGCGGCTCTCGACCCCAGCCGTTCTGCCCTCCTGGCCGGCCAGGACTCCTACCTCGCGGTAATGGAGGCGCGGCCGGCAGGGGGAGCGAGGCGGAAGGGAGCCGCGGCCGGGCCAGGTGAGGGAGGAAGGCTTCCCGCGGGCGGCGGCGCGGCGTGCGCGATGGGCTGTGCGGGACGCCGGCCGGCGGGCGGGCGCGCTCCCTCCGGGCTGCGGGCGAGTCCGGGGCTGGGGCGACGGCGGCGGCCAGGGCGAAGGCGCGGGCGGGTTGCGGGGCGGCGGAGTGAAGAGCGAGAGGGCGGTGCGGTGCCCCAGGAAGAACGGAGGGAGGTTCCGAGAAGCGCAGCCCGGGTGGGCGGTGGACGCAGAGACTCTGCCCTGGGTTGGAGGCTCCGGCGGCCTCGCGCTTCGAGCGCTTCGGGCCCCTTCAGTCGAGGGCTCCAGGAGGGCCCTGGCGTTGAACAGCGGGGTCCCCGGCTCTGCAGTTTCTCGGGTGAGTATCGCCAACGGGTGGAGAGGGGTCGACCCCGCGAAGACAGAGCAGGCCTAAGTGAGGCTCCCTCACCTCTTCCCAGAGCCCTTTTCCCCAACCAGGGTTTGCCCACCCCAGAGTCCCCAACTCTGGCACTTTTGCCCACCCAGCCAGACCCAGCAGCTCTCAGTTCCAGCAGGAAGGGGTTAATAAGGGGCTGGGAGGATCAGGCACTGGCAGACACCGGAGGGCCAAGGGCCTCGGGACAGTGCCCGGGAGGCCCATCCAGGAAGCCCCAGATTTTTTCGCTTTCACTTCTCCCTTCTTAATATTGGTGTCACCCTCGGACTCCACATCTGGCTGCTGCCCTCAGGTGTGTGCCCAGATATGCGCGGAAGCCTCCCCAGGTGCACAGGACACAACCACCGGCATCACCACATGCTGGGGCAGCATGCATCCCAGATAGTGCACAACAGCAGGCAGGAACCCCACCCAGACTCCCCACATGGGCCCCACATGCAGCCTGTAGGGCCCAGGGCCTCTCTGGATGCCGACTGCCAGCATGAGGTACCCCTGGTGACACTGTCCTGCATGCCTTTCTGGGTATGGACTGCCAGCAGTGGGCACGCCTCCTGCAACACTGCCATGACCAGCCCTTACCAATGTCCCTTCCTAGCTGGGCTCTCCTATCAGAAGCAGCTTCTCCTGGGGTCCTGGAGGCAGGGGGCTGCCCTGCTCAGGGGAGAGGGAGAGGGACCTTAAACCCAGCTGGTTCCACCTTTCACTCCTCCCTGGAACCTGCCCCTGGGTCCCACAGGTTGGTGTCACTGTCAGAGCCCCAAACAGCTGGTCATGCAGGGCTGAGGGCATGCTCTGGCAATAACTTCCCTTTCTCTCCACACTCCACAACTACAGCCTCAGCTGGAGGCGCAAGTAGGGGGGCTCACTGTACATGAAATCACACATACCACCCCCCCAGTCATATACCCGCATGCTCACCTGCTGCACACACTGCCTCCCAATCTTTCCTGGACCTCAGGCCCAGGAGCCAGTCCCTTCCTACTGGAGCTTACTCCCGGTCCTCAGTTCCTGAGCCTTCCCCACTTTCCAGACAGCACCCTCTCCGGCCTGGGGTCTGAGTCCCTGGGATTGTAAAAACCCTGGGAGAGGCTGCCTGCCTCCTACCCTTATCCCAGGCAAGCGCAGGCGAAGGCCCACAACATGGTTGCAGGCGGAGAAGCCTTGGAAACAGAGGCCCTGAGAGCCAGAGCCTCGGCAAAGGGCCAGAGAGGCTCCTGGGAAGCTGGGAGATATGATGCTCTGCTAGGAAGACCCTGGGCAGAAAAGGCATGGATGCCCTGAACTGGTCAGAGAAGACCTCAGTGGCAGTAGGTGGGGGAGGTACAAACCAAGTTAGGCCTTAGTGTCCCGGATCCCTGAGCCTAGAGACCTTGAGGCCTCAGGGTGGGTCTTGCCTCACTCTGCTCGGCCTGGATGGGCACGAAGGCAGGAGGGCCTAACCAGGTGGGCAGGCTGAATGCAGGGTGGGTGGCAGGGGCAGCATACAATACGACCCGGCGGCCTGAACTCCTCCGACGTGTCCTCGGCTCCCTGGGCCAGTCCAGGCCCCGCCCCCGGCCCTCCCTACGCCCGGTCGGTGCGCGGGGAGGTCGGAGGAGCGGGCACTGCCCACCCTCCGGATGTATAAGCGTCCTGGCCAGAGGCGGGCGGTGCGCGCGGGTGCGCGTGACGCTCGGGCTCCCGGGCTGCGCGGCCTGGGCGGCGTGCCTCTGCTTGGGGTCCCCAGGCACGACAGTGAGCCGACTGAAGGGGGTTGGGGGGCATTTGCTGGGCTGGGTCCTGTTCCGCCGCGCGGAGGAACAGACGACGCCACAGCTCTGGTGTTGTCCGCCTGTGGCCAGTGCCGGAACCCGAACTGCCCTCTCCTCACCCAGGTGCAGGGGCAGCCAGGGAGGAGGAGGCGGGAGGGGCCGAGGGCAGGGGCAAGGCCAAGCCAGGCGGCCCCACGGTGATCCATCGGTGCCTCACGGACACAGGTTGAGGCTGGGCGCTCCCGGCGTAGCTGCCTCCGTTCAGGGGCTGTAGAAGCCGATGGTGGCTTCAGTGGCTTCGCTGAACAGAGGGAACCTCCGCCTCGGTGGGAACAGCGGGATGTTCGAAGGGCGCTGGTCACAGAGGTCCTTGGGAGCAGAGGCCAGGGGCAGGGAGCTTGAAAAGCAGAAGGGCCCCACACTCCCAGGGCGCTCCACCCATCTGGGCCCCTCCGCTGCCACCGGCCCGGAGTGGGGGGCCGTGACGCCATAATCCCTTGGGCCCAGGGCTGGTGGCTGAGTGGCACCGCAGGCCCCCGCCCCCGGGTCCCGTGGGCTGGGCCGGCCTCGGTGCGGCTGGGTGCACGCAGTCGGAGGCGGCGCCGGCCAGGCCGCCGGGCGCCTATGGACGCGCGGAGCCCGCTGTCTCCCCGGGCCAGCGCGTTCAGCATCGCCTCTCTGGTTGCAGCAGAGGCCGTAGAGCGCACAGCTCGCCTGGGTCCCCGGTTCTCCGACCAGGCGAAGCTTCGCCGGCTGCTGGGATCCCCCGCCGGGATGCACTTCAGCACGGTCACCAGGGATATGGAAGGTGAGCTTCCCCGCTGTGTCTGCCGGCAAGACCCCCTGCCACAGCTGCTGTGGGGCCCTAGCAAAGAGTTTTGGCAGGGCCCTGGCACAGAGTGGGTAGAGGGAGCTCTGGCGGGGTGGGCTCCAGGCTTCCAGTGACTCTGGAGCAGAGAGGAAGGGCAGGCATCCTGCCCAAAGCCTGTGCACCTCCAGCCTGGGAACCCGGCTGCAGAGACCCACAAGGAGCTAGACACGGGCCCAGAACAGGACTAGTGGAAGCCAGGAAGGACAGGAGAGAGAAGGACCAGAGAAAGGGGGCAAAGGTGGCCGCAAGCTGGGAGAGGTGGGAGGGAAGTTGGCAGGAGAGGAGAGTGCCATGGAGTCTGGGAACCCAGGAAAACGAGAGACAGAAAGTGGTGAGGGCAGCCGGGAGGAAAAGAAATTGAGAAGAGAGAAAACACAAAAACCCGAAAGGAAGGTAGGAAAAGTGAGAAAGATGAAAAAGAAATAAAGAGACCGAGAACGAAAAAGAATAAAGTAAAGGGAAATTTAAGACGAAAAATAAAGGCATCAAAAAAGGGAAAAGCTATAGAAAACCTCCAGTTTTTATTTTGTTTTAAAAAAAGAGGAAAAAACCCTGAATAACAGGAAAAGACCTAGAAAAAGAAGAGGCAAAGGCAGACTGGGAAGAAAAACGAAGTGATGAAAAATGAAGTGGAAAGAAAGGAGAGGGACAAAACTGGAAAAAGAAAGGCAGAAAATAACCCAGAAATAAAGAGAAACGAAAGAGATAGTGGAAGAAGGAAAGAGGATTAGGAGGGAAAATTTCAAGGAGGAAGACAAAGGTAAAGAAATAACAAATTGGAAAAAGAGCCTGGAGAGAGAAAGGAGAAATGCAACGCGGGAGGGCGGCAGAGCGAGGGGCGGCGGGCGGCCCGGCGCTCTAGGGAGCCGGTCCGGGCGGTCGGG